ATCAAACACTTACTATTTTAATATTACCAGTATTAAATGCTATTTATATATTCATTTCAAAGGTTTTTTTTATTTAATCCAAAATGAATTTGAAAAGAGAATTGTAGTGAGTTTGCTTTTGAACAAATATTTCTAAATTTATTCGTTTACTATTTTATTCATTTTAAAATTTTATTAGTTTGATTTTATATAACACTGATTTCGTTGTTGTCTTGGGTGACATCTGTGAAAAAAATTCAGGTGCTCAGGCATGAAAATGAGCCGCTCAAACACTATACTTTTCCGCCCACACTGGAAAAAAAATTAAAGGGAACATTGCCCATAACCAGCCTTTGCTTTGTGGAAAGCATGCCTTTCCTTCCCCAGGAATTGCCAACCTCTGCCCCCATTAAAAAACAACAACCCTAGAGCAAAATCTTCACGCATAAAAAGAATATTGACTTGCTGTGCCAACCACTCCTAAATACCATTCCTTTTCCCAAAGTCAGGACATTCAAAAGGCTTCTCTCCTATGTGAACCATCGGGTGTACTGCCAAACTGGAATTTTGACTGAAATATTTCTTACAATCTGGGCATTCATAGCGTTTCTCTCTTGTGTGAGTTCTCTGGTGTATTATCAGCTTGTCCTGCTTGCTATAGCTTTTGCCACATTGGGACAACTCGTAGGGCTTTTCTCTGGTGTGAGTTTTTCCATGAACAACTGGGAAGCCATTCTGATTAAAGCTTTTGCTGCATTGGGAACACTGATATGGTTTTTCTCCAGTGTGGATCCCCTCGAGCATAATTCTACAATCTTTGCTTTTCCCACAATAGACAGATCTGTGGATCTTTTCCACCACTGACATTCCTGGATTCTCAGGGACACCAAAAATACTCTCAATCCCTTGTTGGATGGAGCATAGATTCAAGTTTCCTTCCTCACAGGGCGAGGCCTGCATTATGGTCTGCCTTATCTGGCTGTCAAAGTGACCTTTTCATTTCCACTGACTTCCAGATATTTCCATCTTTTTCTGAACTAAAAAATTATTCTCCTTAATATTTTGATACGTTTCTTCCAGATACTCCATATTTTGTCCAACTCAAAACTCTTTTCCTAATTTCATCTTCTTTATCTGTAAGTCGATGGGGAAGAAGAGTTTTGGGGATTTCCAGAGGAACTAATAGGTTTTTGATTGCTGCCTTGGTTTTCTTTGCATTTTAATGCTGCTTGAGATTCAGTTTTCCACAGTGCTCTCTTTGGCATTCTTTTCCCTATAAGATTCACATAAAAGGATTAGTTTAATTATGGTTTATAAAATGGCTGCACAATATTTAAAAAAAAAGAGCTCCAAAGGCATCAATTACAATAGAAGGCAAAGATGCCAAAATGCTAACTTAACCCCTTACATTAATTATTTACATTTTCAATATACATGTCAAATGCCCATTTAGTTATGAAATTTATTTATTGACTTGGGTCAATCATGAGTTCATAGTATTGCAAAGTGTTATCATAGAATATACCTGGAAGTGCTGGGGACAGAT